TCGTGAGATAGCGATGATTAAAAAAAAGGTGACTTCATTCAATAGCCAAATTGCACAGAAAATAAAAAGAAATCAAATTCAATCTAATGAATCAGACTAAATAATCCTGGCATTGATTAAGCCAGAAAAAAATTTCCTGATCCCATGTGCAGTTTGAAAAAAAAATTAAAATTGTAAAATTTTTGCCTTGCATTGTTTCTTTTAATTGCGCCGAGAGAGATGCTTAAAACAATTTTTCATCTCAAGATTACAAAAATAGAATCTTCAAGCTTCAAGATGCATCTTTTTTTTTTCTCGATACGACCATTATTCACGAAGTTACTGCCTTTCAAAAATCACTAAAAAAATTTGGAAATTTTTCTGCTCCTTTATTTTTTTTCCTGTGTGTATACAAGTTGTTTCACTTGTCTTATTCCTTCATTCACTTTTGAAACTCGAAGTCCGTGACCTTTTTATTATAAATAAATAAAACTTGAAATATTAAAAAAATGTGCAGGATGACCAACCTCACTGTCCTCACCCTCTTCGCGGCCATCTCCTGCGCCTGGGCCTATTCGGCCGGCGCTCCGGAATCGACCTGCGACGACATGACCCCCAAGCACCCCGTGGAGCCCAAGAAATCTGAGTTGCCCTACAAGGTCACCGTTAACCATGACGAAATCAAGCCTGGCGAAGTAGTGGAGATCACCATTTCGGAGAAGAGCTTCAAGGGCTTCATGCTGCAGGTCAGGAAGGGCGAGAAGGCGGTGGGACAGTTCCTCATCCCGGACGACGACAAGTACTCCAAAGCCATCAACTGCCACGGTTCCAAGGGGGTAAGTCGGTTTTTTCGAAAGATGCGCGAATCATGAACAGTAATACAGAGATGATTGATAACAGGATAGAAGTAAAAGGTCAGTAAAACTGATGTACTTTTTTGTATTACACATAACTTCATCGGACTATTTTACTTTCTCAAAAAAAAAAAATTATAATAATTTGTGCACACTGCCATTGACGACGTGTACTGTATACAGGGTGTCCGGAAATGATGAGCAAAAAATTCAGGGGATAATTCTAGACCGAAAATAAATGCTACCTCTTTCTATAACATTTTTTCCAAAACTGATTATTAACGGAGTTACAGGGTGTTAAAGTTAAATTTTATTTGCAGTATTTTGCAATACCTTTTGCCACACTCATAATATTTTGACGAAATTTCGTATATGG